ATCTCTGTATATTGAGTAGTACTAACTGGTCATTGCTATTATGGATTTAGGAGTCTCGTCCGTAATTATCGAAAAATTAAAAAATCCGTCCTCATGAAAAATTGTCTCAAACCCACCCACCCCATTTTTCCCATTAATATTTTGATTTTTCCCAATGCCCAGCTATAAAAAAAGAACTCCTGACCCCAGGGTCACTGACTGCACCTGTGTCAGGTACATTGTACTAGTAGCTACTGTACTAGTTTGTTTTGTTTCTGGTTTTTGTTTGTTTTTGTTTTAGTAGGTCTACCAACGGCCATGCACGTCCTGCAACTACATGTTCATCATACTGGTGTTTGCGACATTACGAGTACAGTCAGTACACTGCAAAGCCAGTGCAACAACTGTATGAAAGTCACTGAAGTAAAAAAAGGTTTATGAAAATTGGACTCGGAAAAATCTAAAAATTTAATTCTGCCAGCTTTCCTGACCATCCAAACCCTTTTGCATGAGGACGGTTTTTTAATTTTTTAATTACGGACGACCCCTTATGGCTCTGATCCACTACTTTATGTTTTCATGTTACCATTCTGGATAAGGGACCTATGCAAATCTATAACAACCCCCCCCCCAGTTGATTACATAATTTCACTGGGCTATACTACCGGTATGCATACTGCAGATGCACACTACTGCTATGTACACGTCACATGGCTGATGTCATAGGAACAGCCGGTCACCAGCCAGCATGTTATTGTGAGGCCTGTGTTTTTCAATACAATCATCTTGCACACGTCAGTGTTTTGCCTTGTTGAAGTGTGACAGTCCAGACAGGGTGCGCCGCCTCCACTGAAATATCAGCACCCTTATCATGTGTAATATAATGTCATGCTGCACAGCCAGCTAAGACTTAGGGGGCGTTCGAATTGTCTTCATCAACTGTTCGAACAAATTTTAAAAAGAGATAAGTTGAAGTGTCCCATTAGAACGGTTTCTGTCATTTTAGAGTTTTTCAGTCGAATTGTCTTGGCGATGATGACGTCCGATATAGATCGACCATCTCCGCGTACTACGTGACGTAGCCATATCAAACTCTTCGGAACTAATCCACCCCTCCCATCGGATGAGGTTGTGGAGTTTCGAGGAGTTTGTTTTTCTGAAGAGGCCAATAAGGCCACCTCTTCAGAAAAACGAATCTCCTTGAAAAGTCAAAGAGTGACAATTTGGCGAACGTGCCCTTAGAGTATGAGTGTGTACATGGGCAAAGCCAGGTCTAATGTATGCTCTGGTAGCTGCACCATTCAGGCATGCATCAGCCAGTATTTCCCATTTACATGTACACATTGCATGTATCCCCAGCTAGGCTGTATGCTAACAGTACAGCACAGTGAGTACAAAGTCATGTAATACTATGTGAGTACATCCATACCATAGAGCGAGGTGAGATCTGCAGTAAGTGCATGTGAACATCAGCCGATGTTGGTCTAGATCCAGGATCATCATGCAGACACGACACGATTAGAGAATGCAGTGGGTGATCCGAGCCCAGTCGATCCAGATCTGCTTTGCGTCGGCGACCCTCCGGAACTGATCTCCGCGTTCCATTCTCCAGCAGAACAGTAGCTTCAGTTGGGGAAGGCGGTCGTCCCACAAGCAGCGACAGCATCACCACTCCTAGAGAAAACACATCCAGTTTCTCGTCGTATGCTGTTCCTACTTGTCGGCTCTCTGGCGGCATAAAATAAGGCGTACCGGGGCATCGTGTCAAAGCCGTGACGTCCGCACCTTGACTACCGTGAAGAGTGCGGGCCAAACCAACATCAGCTATCTTGGCTCGCCCTGCCGTGACCAAGATGTTACGTGGTTTCAAATCGCGGTGCAAAATGTTCTTGCCGTGCAGAAAGCGCAAGCCTTCTGCCACGTCGAGTAGATACTGAAGGCTTTGAGCGAATGGCTCTCTTGGCTCAACTCCAATTCGATCAAATAGCGAGCCGGCCATCAGTTCTACCACTATACACGGAGATTGATTGGGAGCAATGCCGATCCCGAGAAGTCGCACAATTCTTTCATGTTGCAGTCGCCGCATGACTAGGCACTCAGTGCCGAATCGCTGCAAAAGAGCTACACGCCCGACATTGCCCTGTTGGAGTAAAATACTATGTAAGACCTTCACAGCAACAGGGAGACCCTCCAACTCACTGGTATAGACCGTGGCATCCGAGCCACGGCCTATCTCGGGTTTGTTCAGGTCAACTTGGACGTATCCAAGCCAAATTGCATCTGGGACACCAAGTCTCTCTTGGAGCTGAGTCTCAAAGTTGAACCCTGCCATTTCAGTAAAATAATAGTGTAACGCACGATCGTCTTGCTCTCGCAACTGTGTGTTTGATTGTGTCCGCGAGTTGTCAGCACCTTGTTATGGCGTTAGACGTACACTGCATTGTGTGTGAGTGTGTGTGTGTGGTGTGTGTGGTGTGTGTGTGTGTGTGTGTGTGTGTGTGTGTGTGTGTGTGTGTGTGTGTGTGTGTGAGTGTGTGTGTGTGTGTGTGTGTGTGTGTGTGTGTGTGTGTGTGTGTGTGTGTGTGTGTGTGTGTGTGTGTGTGTGTGTGTGTGTGTGTGTGTGTGTGTGTGTGTGTGTGTGTGTGTGTGTAGTCTGTAGACTAGAGACTGAAGTTTAGTCCCGTTCCGCACTGGGGTATGCATTCCCGTTCTCACCTCCCTGTTTGCAGTCTACAAATACAATATCATGTACAGGTGCAGACATGAAGAGCTAGCTGTCTCTCGCCTCAACAGTGGGTGAACGTTTTGATCGCAATCGGCCACCGGTACCGCAAACGGCGCAGCCGCGTGCCGAAAAGGCCCCGTTCGTAAGCACTTCGGAAAGCAATCCTCCAGTAGATCTACCCAGTGCAGTACCCCATAAAAATGAAGCTGTCATGGATCGTGGACAGCTAGTCTGCCTGGCTAGCTGGGCGGTTGACCACAAACTGACTGGCGAGTGGCGAGTAGGCAGATACATGTATGCCTGTACATCTGTTGACGTCATCAAACAAAACAAATCCACAATACAGGGAACGAAACCATGGAAACTGTTGGTTGCTCCCTAGTCAGATCCCTACGGACCCTAGCCTGAAGATCGTGCTATCCACTGAGTCTGTCAGTGTCAGTGAACTGTCACCTGGTCACTGACTTGGCTTGACACTCGACGCCAGTTGACGTCATGACGACTGCCGTCCAGGCCACACGCCATACCCATCGAGCCTTCGACCGGGCAAAGCCTAAGGTGCAAGAAAGCACCAGTCCCTGTTCAATGCACAGTGTTTTGTGGAATTTATCTCTCATCAGTTGAGCTTGAGTAGGCTGAGAAAGACTACGCTTGAAGACCACTACATGTACTTGTCTTTCATCGTGCTCTCCAGGCCATAACATCATCAAGGAATCAAACAAACTTTACCAGGTGTTGCGAATCCAGCGCTAATCAATCCAAAGATACCTCGCGAGCTACTAGAGAGGTTGCGCACAATGAAATTTCGACCGGCCGGGTTCGAGTAACGAAAGTTGCTCCGAAGATCCGTCCAAACTTGACCGAAACAGAGCAGATCTTCGAAAATACTTTTCGTTACCTGGAGTACTAAAATACTGATATTTTACAACTCTCTGTCTTGACTCTTCGCCCCCGCGCGGCTGCCGCGTCGACGCACTACGAAAAAAGTTCAAGCGCTGTGCCCAACCTCACGGTTTTCGAATATTCCTTACCTTTCGTTAAAAAATATTCGTTACGGCACTACGAATTTCCGCTGTGCGCAACCTCTCTCTTGACTTGCTTGTGTGAGGGAAGGGGCTAAAAGAGCATACAAGAGGGAGAAAACTTAAGTTTTTAAAGTGATGTTAGAGTAATTCATCTCATAGTACAGAATATGCTACATCATCAGCAAATCAAGTACCGGTACATTTAGTCTCTTTGATGCATAATTCTAGTATCATGCCAAACAAATGTTCGGCTAGTAGCCCTTTCCCAAAGATGCTCGCCCTTTTTTCGCCCTTTTTGGCCCTTTTTGGAAAAGCCCGTTTCTTTCGCCCTTTATTGCGTTTTTTGGTGAATATCGCCCTTTTAGCTGAAAAAGTGCTAAAATCTGTTTGCTCATGCTTGCGATCACAGTTTCCGAGTGCTCGATGGGCCCGGGCCTTGGCACGCCGCTTTTTTGGGGGCAACAAGTTAGTGAAGCTTGTACACAATGCTGTAAAAAGTGGGCTTTTTGAACTTTACTTCCTGTTTTGCCTTTCTTGGACCCATAAATGGAAGAGTGCGTATTCATTTCTCAGCGTGTGTTCATATTTGAACATGTATCATGGCTATGCTTCACTGAAAAAAGAGCACTTTTTGCCTTTTTTCACTGAAAAAAGAGCACTTTTTCAGCATATTTTGAGGGACGCGAAAAGCACTAAGTGCGAATTAAAAGAGCACCTTTGGGAAAGGGCTATCGGCTAGGAGCAGGAGTGAGGAGAAACCAGTAAGGTAGACCTATATCAACAACATAATTTTAAAAGGTGAAAGGGAACTACACCGAACAAAGTTACACCATTGTTTAAGCAACATGAACACACACTATGTACGTACGGTATATCTAATCGCCACACACACACGCACACACACACACGCACACCCACACGCGCACACACACACACGCACACCCACACACGCACATACACACACACAAACGCACATACACGCACAAAAAAAAAACACACGCATGCACACTACACACACACGTACAGACGCACACACACGCAAACACACACACACACACGCACACACACACACACGCACACACACACACACACGCACACACACACACACGCACACACACACACACACACACACACACACACGCATGCACACTACACGAATACACGTAGTCTCAAACATGCTCATACACGGACGTGACGACGTGTGCAAAACAAGAAGAAGCGAAAATGTGCCTTGGAAACGACATGTGAGGAGTGGTGGGAATACTATGACAATGAAGGTGAGATTCTGGCACTAACCTGCAACAACCCTACAACATTGCGCTGTTTTATTCTTGACAGTGCTAAAAGCAATAGAATGTGCAGGAATGGACTCGGATGGAGAGCCAAGGCCGGATTAATTTATACAAAAGAGAAAGATTTGGCTAAAAGGGAAAGGACCAAGAAACTACAAGTTACGCTACACTATCCACTATAACACCACCAGTTACAAAACAATCAGCCCATGCGATAACATTGCACGACACTGACCGACGGTACTGACGTTCTACAACTAACTGGCTAACAGCTGTAGCCCATCTTGAATGCGCACTCCAACAGCCTTGCATCTTGGAAGGTTCTAAGCATCATAGTTATAGAATACAAACATAAGGAGGGGGACTTGCAACTTGTAGTTCCTTGCTCCTTTTTCTTTCTTATAAATTCATCCTTGGCTCTCCATCCCAGTCCAATTGTATACAAGGCGAAAGAGAACATGGTGAAACACAAACAATAGAAATAGGATTCTAATCATGCTAACAAAAATTCGGATTCAACTCTCCAGGAATCAACGCTGTGCTGAGGAACAAATCAGAGCGAAGGAACTACTTCGAAGTATAGTATTTACAGAAGGCAATGCTGCAGATGTAACACATACATGTATAAAAAATACTTGAGGGGCTGAGATATCAAAGTGTGATTTCCCACAATGAATATACGAGCAACACAGCCTTCAAGGAGTACCAACAGCGAAAGTCGTGCATTAGCTACGAGAAGGTGATAATCAAAAGCCGTATTGAATCAAAACTCACAGCAGAATTTGCTGTATGTGTCCAACTTGTATTCATAAAAAAATATCTTCATCTCTTGTAGGATCCAGGGAAATAGTCTGGGGAGATGGCATCCGTGCTGCCTGATTGTCTGCTAATTTTATGAATGGAAGTTAGGTAACGTGCCATACCAAATGCAGGTGGGAGCAGGTTCCCAATTCGCAGCTATGATACCTCCATGGAGGCAATAGAACCTTTTAAAAAGAAGGTGCATTTAAAACATTTGGATCGGGACGAGGTTACAGGGAGAGATTTCATCATACCAACACCAAAAGACAGGGATATGACTGAACAGATGCATGGACATCCACAGTTTTATTGGACGCACAGACACACGGACACTGGGACAGGGTTATAGACCATAACACCCACTTGTGCATGTACAGGGGACATGAAAAGATATAGGGTCAGGGACATGAACAGATACAGGGTCAGGGACATGAACAGATACAGGGTCAGGGACCTGGACAGATACAGGGTCAGAGACCCAAACAGATACAGGGTCAGAGACCTGGACAGATACAAGGTCAGAGACCTGGACAGGTACAGGGTCAGAGACCTGGACAGATACTGGGTCAGAGACCTGGACAGATACAGGGTCAGAGACTTGGACAGGTACAGGGTCAGAGACCTGGACAGATACCGGGTCAGAGACCTGGACAGATACAGGGTCAGAGACCTGGACAGATACAGCGTCGGAGACCTAGACAGATACAGGGTCAGGGAGATGGACAGATAAAGGGTCAGAGACCTGGGCAGATACAGGGTCAGAGACCTGGACAGATACAGGGTCAGAGACCTGGACAGATACAGGGTCAGAGACCTGGACAGATACAGGGTCAGAGACCTGGACAGATACAGGGTCAGGGACATGTGCATGCACTGGTAAAGGGACGTGGACAGATACAGAGTCAGGGATACGGACTGATACACGCTCAGGGACATGGACAGATACAGAGTCAGGGATACGGACGGATACACGCTCAGGGACATGGACAGATACAGAGTCAGGGATACGGACTGATACACGGTCAGTGACACGGACATGCACTGGTAAAGGGACATGGCTAGGGGCAGGGACAGGAACAGAAACAATTGGGAACCCGTATTCTGGAGACTGCTAGTGAAGCGTCGTTGCAGGCAAGTGAAGTGAAAGTTGAAGAGAGTTGCTCAAAGGATGAAAGTCATACCATGACAGTGCGTGGACAAGAGACAATCCTGCTACTAGTGCTAGCTAGAGACCAAAATGAATATACATGTACATGTGATCTATACGCAGATCTATGTAGATCTACATGCAGTAACTGCACTTGACCAGACCCGGCTCTGACCCGACTGCAAGAGTTGTGCCGTATATCTACGTGTACGTGTGCCCGGTTGGTTTGAAATCCTAGATCAGATACAGAATGCATGTCTATAGAAATGAATAAGGCAGTAGATATGCATACGGTACAGTTCCTGGTGTATTCATAACATGAGCATGACGGGCATGAACAGTGCAGAAACAACTCATGAACACGGGGTGCAAACTCACGAAAATAACCTAAGTGCTAAAACATGTTCTTTTTGCTTACACAAATCGGGCTTATGCGTACGAATACAAACAGTTTCAAGGACCTTCAACTGCTGGAAATAACGGGCACGACACAGTACAGAGAAGTGGGAATCATCTTAAACACTCAAACAATCGGGACGAGATAACAAATGCAAGTACACAGCTGAGTTCTTACGAACTTCACCCTCATCAGCTCCATCACCTTCCCTGCCACCTGACTCCTCCTCGTCCGTTTTATCACCATCACCACCAGCCGTCTCATCGTCATCCGCCTCGTCGTCATCCGCCGCCTCGTCATCACCCGCCTCGTCGTCATCTGTATCCTCGCCGTCATCCGCCTCGTCGTCATCTGCAAAAAGAACATGTTTTAGCACTTAGGTTATTTTCGTGAGTTTGCACCCCGTGTTCATGAGTTGTTTCTGCACTGTTCATGCCCATTTGTCACACTTACTCTTTATTTTAGTTCTCACTTTTTGTAATACTTACCACACGTTCCCCGTCATGTGTCACACTTCTTTGGATTTTTAACCTTTGTTTTTCCCTTGATCTCTTTAGTTCCGTATTTCCACTGATGATCGGAGCGTGAAAATCGATTTTGGAAACACACAAAATCAAACCTTGAACAAATTGTCATGTTGCGTGGTGATGTCTGCGGCATTCATACTTTTCATAGCTATAATTAAACTACAGAAAATACTCAATTCATGGGAGAATTCTGACAGACAAAAAAAAATCAGCAAGCATGGTAGGAAATGAATGAAGGGAAAGGCCAATTTTGAGTGAGAGGTTTTGTAAGAGTCAACCAGCGAAGAAAAGATTGTAAGATGGGTGTGTGGGTAAGTAAATGGGGGAGGGGGGGGGGGGGGTTGTAAGAACGCAGGGGTTGGTGTGTGTGTGTGTGTGTGTGTGTGTGTGTGTGTGTGTGTCACTGTGTCGTGTGTGTGTATGTGTGCGTGTGTGTGTGTGTGGGGGGGGGGGTTATGTGTGGATGGGTGTGTGTGTATGTGTGTGTACATGTATGTGTGTACATGTATGTGTGTGTGTACATGTATGTGTGTGTACATGTATGTGTGTGTACATGTATGTGTGTGTACATGTATGTGTGTGTGTGTGTGTGTCTTAGAGTATGACTTTACAGACACGTTGCCTTGAAGTAACATGGTTACAGAGGGTGCTGGAAGTCTAACAAGAAACCGTTAAAACACTTAATATTGTGGTTTCCATTACAGGAAACAGCTACGACACCCTCACTTGTCACGCAAACACCCATTGGCTTGTCCAACTCTCCTTTTCCAAACTCAGCCAGTGGAGTGTATGTTTCTGCGGCATATACCGGCAGAGAACATGGAGAACACTGGTGAGCGTACAGGAATAATATTTATAGATGGTTGATGCATGGTGATGCATGGTGATGTATGAATGATGTATGAATGATGTATGGATGATGCGTGGATGATGTGTGGATGATGCATGAATGATGTATGGATGATGTAGGAAAGATGTATGGATGATGTATGAATGATGTATCTGTCCCCCCAGGAACTTGCCGTTGTTTTCGCGATTTGAACAAAAGTCCGCGATATCCACGATATTTGAAAAATCATCTGCGTCATAGTAGAACACTGTCCTTGATACTTGATACACTGGAGTATAAGCCACACTGGAGTATAAGCCACACTGGAAAAAAGCCCCATCCGAAATGTTTGGCACCAAATAGAGACCGGCATCTCTCCGATTCACCACAATTAATTTCACCATCCTAGTATAAGGCACACTAAATTCTCTTTTTTTGGTGAATTCTTGGTGTTAAAAATACATGTACGGCTTATACTGCAGAAAATAAGGTATGTGCAATAGGTGTGTAAACCACTTTGTTACGTCTGAGGTATGTGCAATAGGTGTGTAAACCACTTTGCTACGTCTGAGGTATGTGCAATAGGTGTGTAAACCACTTTGCTACGTCTGAGGTATGTGCAATAGGTGTGTAAACCACTTTGCTACGTCTGAGGTATGTGCAATAGGTGTGTAAACCACTTTGCTACGTCTGAGGTATGTGCAATAGGTGTGTAAACCACTTTGTTAAGTCTGAGGTATGTTTGCATTCATTGAAAGATGATTATGCATCAAGATATGGTCGTCCGATATGGTCGTCTGGCACGTGGCCACGGCAATGGTGCCGGTCAATCATGATTCCACTACCAAAGAAAGGCAACCTCCGAAAGTGCACGAACTATCGCACCATCTCGTTGATAAGTAACCCTAGTAAAGTAATGCTGCGTGTTCTACTCAACCGTCTCACACCTTGCATCGAAGACCTACTGAGTGAGGAACAGGCTGGGTTTCGAGCAAGCCGTAGTACTGTGGATCAGATATTCAACATCCGTACACTGGCAGAGCGTTACGGTGACCATCAGAGACCCATCTATAACAGTTTTATCCATTTTCGCAAGGCATTTGACAGAGTGTGGCACGCAGCCCTGTGGAAGATAATGCGCAAGTGTGGGCTTATCCCGAATATCATCACATCGAGTCCCTGCACCAGCAGTCCGAGAATGCTGTACGAGTAGGAACAACGGTTAGCAGTTGGTTCCATGCCACCTTTGGCGTTAGGCAAGGTTGCATTCTATCACCCTCTCTATTCAACATTTTCTTGGAAGAACTGGTATCTAGGTCATTAGAGGGATTCGCGGGTTCCATTAGCATTGGTGGACGCATTATAACAGACCTGCGATTTGCAGATGACATTGATCTGGTGGCTGGCAGCGAGGAAGAACTGCAAGACCTTACTGGCCGGCTGGCCAGCACATCAAAATCATACGGCATGGAAATCAGCACTGAGAAGAGTAAGCTACTGGTAACGGGAGCAAGCAAAGGTCTGTCCGCAAGCATAGCCATCGACGGGAAGCAGCTCGAGCAGGTTGACGAGTTTAAATATCTGGGTAGCACGATTACTGATGATCAGCGTTCAATCAAAGAAGTGAGGAGTCGAATCGCAGCAGCCTCGGCTGCTGTTGCACGACTAGTAACAATCTGGAGGGATAGAAACATCAGTACCGCCTCGAAATTACGTCTACTAAATGCTATTGTTTTATCCATATTCCTTATGCTTGCCAGTCTTGGACACTTAACTGCTGAAATTGTGAAAAAGATCGAGGCTTTCGAAATGAGAAGCTATCGGAGTCTTCTCAGGACTCTGTTCACTGATCACCGGACGAATGTGTCTGTTAGAGAGGAAATAAATAGTATTCACAAACAAGTCCCACTTATTGTTTCTGTTCGTAGAAGGAAATTGCAATATTTTGGTCATATTGTTCGTTCCGGCTGTTTGTCATTGACTGTTCTTCAGGGTAGTGTTGCTGGAGGTCGTGGCCGAGGCAGGCCCAGAATGTCATGGCTTGATAATATCATTTCATGGGCTGCACTTGACGTGCAGTCCTTGCTAGCTGCTGCACGCGATCGATTTTTATGGCGCTCGCTTGTTCATACTTGCTCTGTGACGCCCCGACGGCCTTAGGGCTATGGCCCAGTATGGGCTTGTGATGATGATGATGATGATGATGATGATGATGATGCGTCAAACCAGCACGGTGGAGACAGTTTCGGTCAGGGATTCAGTAACGTTACGTCAAACAACGTCCTCTTTACACTGGCGTTAACCACAACATGGCATGTATAGATGGGCTTCGAAGGCATACTCCTATACAAGTACTTTTAAAATTCTACTTAAACTGATTAGGCATTTCTCTAAATGTCAACATGCAAGCCAAGCATACAGTAAGAACACAGCTACAGTACGTCCCGGACTTGGTTGTAGCATTGATGTGTGTCCACTGTATTCCTTGCTCTGTTCTCCAGACATTCAGCACTCCACACAGTCTGAGTATGCATGTACACTAGGTAAACCCTAAAGCATATGTGCCAGAGGTACCATTTTGCAAATCATGCTACTACTAGTATTCATTACAAGCTTACATGTGAGACACACTTTTATACAAGAAAGTAGTGTAAGAGTAGAATGTACCCTTGTTTTTTGAACTGTAAGAGCTAATGTACTCTTGCTTTACTTGTGCTCTGTGCATGCAGTGTACATCACTTTCTGTGTTCATATCAGTGTTGTCTGATGATTGTACTGACCATGAATCACAGACTAGCAACAAACTGACCATGCTCCACTGTTGTATATGTACTGGGTACTACTCTCTGCCTGTAGGTATTTAGAAAGAAGAACACGACAACAAGCTCTCCCTTACCATAACACGTCCATTGCCATAATCTGCGACTAGAACATTGCCGTAGGCATCTGTAGTGACATCATACGGTTTGTACAGCTGCACAAAAGCGGTGCCCTGAGACCCGAACGAAGTGATATACTCTTCATCGATGGTCATCACCTTTTGCAGGAATAAAAAATAAATTGACCATTCACACACACCACTGTGGTGACAGCAAGAGTATAGATATAACAGGAGTGTAAGAATAATACTCCAACACACAGTGCATAGCTACTATCATTATGACTGTAGTGATGATAAGGTTACTGGTGTGCAACTGTAAAAACTCAAAACCTGAGGTAAAACATGGACCTGGCACCAACATTTGATTACTATGTATGTATTTATTGTAGCACAGACACTGTTTGGTTTGTGACATGATGTATAGACATGACGTTTAAGAGTTCAACTTTACATCAGCCTATACACTCTTCCACTGAAAAGGACAAGTTAGGCAAATATGGCTATCAGGCACTTGCATGACGTACAAATTCATTTCTGATTGGAGGAATTTTTTGCTGCCCGAACCTGTCTAGTGTTTAGCCTGATAGATGGATTGGCAATAGCTGTAAAGTCTCAGAAACAGAAGAATTCCCAATCTACGCGTATAGTTTCTAGAACAAGTCAAGTTTGCATCCATCCACGTAATAAACACATCCAGTCCAGAAGACACTTAACATCAGTTATCAAACGTTTTCGTTCCCTTCTTTTCAGGATTATGCAGGGAATGGCTGTAATGAAGAGATGACTACAACTCTTAGCGCCAATGCGCGGAGATACAACACTCGTGACAAGGTAGACATTTATCAAGTTTTACAAGTTGTAGTATTTTTTTCATTTCAGCCATTCCCTGTATAATCCTGAAGAGAAGGGAAAGAAAATGTTTCATAACTGATGTCAACTGTCTTCTGGACTGGATGCGTTAATTCGGTGGATGCATACGAACTTCACTCGTTCTAGAATATTTTTTCCGTCTTCGACCTACATTGTACTTTGAAGTACATGATTGTAAGCGTAGACTATTTCCTATTGTACATGATTGTATAATTATGCCGTGTGTTTTTGCATAAATAATAAGAGGGCTACTCCAAATGTTGAATGTTGAATGTTGTTGTTGTTGTTGTTGTTGTTGTTGTTGTTGTTGTTGTTGTTGTTGTTGTCTCTTGGATCTAGTTTGAAAAGTGGAAGTACAAGTTTAGTCCTCCAAGGGAAGGGTTATGTTTGGGATTGGGTACTTCAAGGCAGGTCCTACGGTTTCCCTCGACGTGGTTAATCATGGTAAAATAGAGTTCTAAATATCAAGATATCAACCATCCATGCATCAAATGCACAGGAACAATGCATTAGTGGATTCACAGGAAGTGTGAGTTACGAAGTCTGAAGAAAACGTTGAACGGTCTCTGCTTGGATGACGACTACACCATAGCTCAGTGGTTAGAGCATCGCTGGCTACAAGCGAGGGTCCCTGGTTCGAGTCCTGGTGTTGACAGTCGATTTTTTCTTCAGACTTTTCCCGTTTGTCTCTTTCCCTCAAAACCAGTGAATAATGCATTATAATTTATTCGGTTCTTTGGGAAAGGTTTGAGCACCCCCTCCTTCCGGATCCTGCGAACGCCCCTGACTCCCGGGGAATCCCTCATGCAAGTAGATCTACGGTGCGAACCGTACCTTTTTTGTGCATGTCGATTTCAAACATATTTTGAAACATTAGAGACGTACCTAGCTAGATCTCTGACTATACATGTAGAATGGGTGAAGTGACCCGAAACAACAAATTTTTATATCCGCTCGCATATCCGTACCAGGGTCGGTCGGTCGGGTTGCGGCCAAGTGCATATCGAATAGCTTTTGTCCATCAAGCCAGTCGATCAAATCTGACTGTAGACGATCCAGCGCAGTGATTGTCCCATCACTCAGATCCAGGTTCCCTCCAGGACCCGAGATCTTGGCCTCGCTGGCAAACGAGCCTGACGAGCAGCTCTCACCTTGAAAACTTCAGTCAATGAGCTACGCGGTGTCGGAGCTGTTGCTGTTTCAGGACCGATTGCGGATCGGAGATAGAAGACGACGTCGTCACCAAGCGCTGCATCCTGCCATTTGGCTGCTTCTGAGGTCGATATCTGGACTGCTAGTATTATAAGGGTCACGTGTGTATCTATATGTACATGTAGTCTAGTCATGTACATTTGCATGCACTATAAAAAAAATCATTTTGCGGTCGGGTGAAAAAGGACGGTCGGTCGGGTGACCCGAAACAACGAATTCTGGTCGGCCTTATTATTAGAAAAATGTTTGCGTTTGAATACCTAGAGGGCAAGAGATAAGACTATACAGTCTATACATGACTGTACTAGATCATTCAGACCCTAGGTCTAGGTCGGTGGAGCACATCAGACCCGTCACCACGTCTACGATTCATGCCTGCGATGCTGTACCGCTGCTTTGCATGTCATGATTGGAAGCTGTGGCCTAAGTAAAAAAAAGAAATTCAGTGACACTCACTGGAGCAGTGCATAGCCTGGTGTTGACCATTAGGTATTTCTGGTATTTGGAGATTACAGTTACTTGTCTGGAGTGGACCCTGGTACTTGTACGTAGTTAAATTAAATAGAGAAGAGTCGTGTTTTGCTAATCGGTTGACGTTCTTAGCTAGCAGAGTTTTGATCTTGCAAACTACCCCAGCGTAGCGTACACTGTGATGGTATTAAAGAGCATGAAAAAAAAAATGGTTCATGTACATCACTACATGTACATGTAGCGTGTAGCGTGATATTTGAACTTGTAGCATATAAGAAAGAAAAATGACCAAGGAACTACAAGCTACGCTATAATGTCCACTTACACCACCAGTTACTAAACAATCAGCTCATGCGATACCATTGCACGACACTGACCGACGGTACTGACGTTCTACATCTACTAGTAACTGGCAGAACCTTCCAAGTTGGAAGGCTGTTGGAGTGCGCATCCAAGATGTGTTAGAGCTGTTAGCCAGTTCAAGGGCGTCGGAAGGTAGGTAGGTAGGTACGTTTTTATTGGAATTCGCAGAACCAAACGGGCGATGTCGTCTAATTTAATACATGGAAGCAAATTTAAACAGTAATAGTAGAAACATTGATAGCGTAACATGATAGCAGGGTGTAGTACAAAGCAAAGAATGCTCAGTCGATGAATAACGTTAACGTTAGAATACTACACGGGGGAGGCGGGAAACAGCATACCACTGGTACCGTGGAGTACCTCAAAACGTTCAAAGATTCCTGTAGTGTTCAGTAGTGGACGCTACTGCTAGCAAGACAGAACGGGAGGCAGGCTTGTTTGAACTGGTGGCATTGGGTAATACCACGCACGTCGGATGGCAGGGTGTTCCATAAAAATGATCCCGCCAGCGGTTGGACGGCCGTGGCCGGCTTTGGAGGCAGATTTGGGGACTCGAAGGCCCAAGCTGCGTTGCGCGGGCGTTGTGCGAGTACTTGGACGCTCCAGAAGGGCTTGTAGTGCATTGCTTGCCCGACAATTCGAGCAACGCCAGATCATAACAAGGGTCTTTTGCTTGTGGAGCTCTTCGATGCCACCCAGCTGCAGACGAGCAAGCAGAGGTGGGCGCTTTTGTGCGAGGTGGTAGGCCAAATACGGCGCGTGCCGCACGATTTTGCTGGACCTGAAGGCGGGACCGCTGGTCTTGACGAAGGCAACCAGAGAACGCCACGGACCCGTAGAGCAAATCTGGCATCACAACGGATTTCACATACTGTTCTCTGGACCTTCTTGTAAGGCAGGGGCGGGCTCTCCAGAGTGCTCCCACCTTCTGTGAGACCTTCTTTACAGCATTGTTAACGTGTTCGTCAAATTGAACGTCCTCGTCTATCGTGATGACCAGGTACTCAGCCTGGGTAACTACCGGTAGCGGGTTTCCACGGCATTTGACAGTAATGTCTTGGCCAGAAATTTGCAGGACATGGCTTTTGCTATTGTTCAGGATTAGATTCCGCTCCTGGAAGTGGTTAGCAATCTCGGTTGTAGACTTTGGGAGAACTCGCGATACTTCATGGCAATCAGGGTGGCTTAACGTGAGAGCAATATCGTCAGCTAACTGCATTGGGAGGGAAGGGCTGGCAATGGTGGGTACATGCCTGGTGTAGATGTTGAAAAGCACGGGTCCGAGAACGTAACCCTACGGGACGCCACATGAACATGTGCCACTGACACCAATGGATCCAGCGATTTGCACCTGTTGTGTGCGCCCTCCGAGGCTGTCTGCAAACCATTGGAGTGCAGTGCCGTGAAGGCCAACTTCAAAGCGATCGCGTACAAGGATGTCATGCTGGACTTTGTCGAAAGCCTTCGACATGTCCAGCAAACACACATCACTGGCTAGTCACGCGTCCTTTGCATGGAGAATGTT